GGTGCAGATGGGCACCCACAAGCCACACAGATGCCTGGGGCCAGCACAGGCTCCCCTCTGCAGGTCGACACGCTCAACACTGGGGTGCTGAGGACACAGGGATGTGCCCTCCAACCAGGGCTGTGGTGAGGCCACAGTGGACCTCCCAGGGAGACACAGGGGTCTGCTGCTCAAGAGATGCAGCCCTGGCAGGAGGGCTCCGTGAGTGCACACTCTCTTCCGGGCTTCCTGGGTGCGGGGCCTCCCCTGGCACAGCACAGCCCCTCACAGCACAGGACAGTGGCCCCTGGGGCCTTGCTGGGCTCCAGCTCCGTGTATGTGCTTCTGGTAGGCCAGCACCCCATCACCATGTCCTGTGCCTCTCAGGGCCCAGGGTGACCCCTCCCCAGCACAGCTGCCCCTGCAGGACTCCTGCCAGCCCCATTCATGCTGGCCTGACCCCGGCCTGCCATTTTGGAGGCAGCCTTGGTAACCGATGCTCAAATGACCACTGCCCAGGCCAGAATCTCAGAGGAGGCCACAGGTCCCCAGTGCGCTCTGATGGGGCAGCCTCTGCGGGGGCTCCCTGGGCCCTGAACACCCTCCCTTCTCACTGTCCCTCCCTCCCCTGCGAAGGGCGTCCTCAACTGCTTCTGAAACCTGGGGGGCTGTGGTGGGAAACAGGGAGGTCATGTGGTTTCCAGGCTGAGATTATAAACCTGCTGCGTCCCTCTAGGTCTTGGAGCCTGAGGGGATTTACTGGGGGGAGATGGGAGGGAGCTGGGGAGGATGTGGGAGAGAAGGAAGTGGGAGGAGTGGGCCCCAGCTCCTTCCGACTCATCTGCGTGCCCCCGTGGGCCATGTGACCCCCGTGGGCCGCTCACCAGTGCCCTGTGCACTCACAACCCCCAGAGGGGCGTACCGAGTCCAGGCAACTTGGCCGTTGTACACATCCTCCTGCTCACAGCCAAGAATACTGGGGCAGGTGGGTGGGAAGGGACAACCTCCCCACCTGTCAGAAGCCCCACCCCAGCCCAACCAGAACTGGGTGGCCCATCTCCCTTCTCCTGTCCCCCAAGTCTGGGCCTGGTGGAGTCTGACCAGGGCCATCCCCTAAGCACCCAGGCTCATAGGGAAACGGGGCCTCCAAGCCCCCACGTCACCTTGCAAAGCCCCCTCCTGGGCCACCCTGAGACAGAGGCTGGGTCTGGAGCAGGGCTGTCTGACCAGGGTGTGCCCACAGAGCTGGGATGGGGGGCAGGCCTCACTCCCTCTGCTTGAGGCTTTTCAAGCCCACTTTTTTCAATCTAGAGATTTCACAGAAAAGCCCGTGTTTTCAGCTTCTCTTGAAAAGCCAGATTTGCCCACAGGTGCCACCTCTTTCCCCTGGGCACCTCTGCCTGGACAAGCCACCGTCTACCTGGGGTATATGCCAGCCACGGGTCCCACCACCCCCAACTGTCACCCCGTGCGTGGCCCATGGCTGCTCAGAGGTCCCTGGGCACATCTGAGGCTCTGTCCCTGTGGGATGAAAGCCACCGGGAGGAAGCTTTCCTTAAATGCCTTCGTGAGCTCTGGCAGCCGAGGGGCCACGCTGACCCCAGCATCACACGGAAGGCTGGGACGTGCCCCCTCCCCAAAAGCAGTTTCGGCCACACTGTGTTCCCCCTTTCACGGCTGCACGATGTGGTGGCATTTTAACCGCCCCTTCTCAATGCACAACCCGGACAGGCTGTTCTCAACACTCTACTGCAAACCATACACCATTTTACGTCGCCAGAAAGACCCCAAATTTCCATTCAAAAAGATGGTACCAGTTTCAGTTCCCACCAACCTCGAAGGCAGAGACAAAAGGACAGTGTGCCCCTCCTGTAACTTCATTTCTTCGGTGCCTGAAGCTGAGGGCAGAGTCCATGCCTGGGCACAGGGCTGCCACCGCAGCGGCCACTGCCCCAACCCTCGCTCGTCCTCCCAGAGACGACCTGCGCTCTGTTCGGGGACAGGGCTGCCACCGCAGCGGCCACCGCCCCAACCCTCGCTCGTCCTCCCAGAGACGACCTGCGCTCTGCTCGGGGACAGGGCTGCCACCGCAGCGGCCACCACCCCAACCCTCGCCCGTCCTCCCAGAGACGACCTGCGCTGTGTTCGGGGACAGGGCTGCCACCGCAGCGGCCACTGCCTCCAATCCTCGCTCGTCCTCCCAGAGACGACCTGAGCTCTGCTCAGAAGCAGACCTCCTCCTGCTGGGCTCACTCGGGCCCGGTGTGCCAAGGGGGCCTGGTTTTGGGGCCGGCGGGTTCTGCTTGATGCTCAGAGGGTAACTGGATGCTGAAAACCGTGAGTCTTTCTTCAACTCAGGGGAATGTTTCCACGGCAGGCCAGGCCTCACCGACGCAGGCCTCCATGACAACTGTCTGGCACTGACTGAGGGTGAAGTGAAATATTAGAAGCTGAGAGCCAGCGCCTCATACAAAGCTGGGAAGTAACAAAAGCCCACCAAGAGTTCTGCCCAGGGCTTTCCCGGGCCTTGAAGCATGACGAGATCATGAAGGAATTCTTAACAGGACCCATTTAGTATTAAACAGGTTTTATTGGGGGGGTCTGAAAAAACTCCCCAGGCCTCTACAAACAAGTTTACTGGGCTCTGAAGGAACTCCCCAAACCTCCATGATTTAGCAGAAGACAAGATAAGGGTAAACACCTGGACCCATTTAGATCAAGTAAATTTACTGAGGTTCCAGAGGAAGATCTTCAGGACTCGAACTTAGTTATAGATTAGAAGAATTTAATCACGTATGTCTTTAGATGAATCACACTTACACGTAGACATAGAGCCTAGAAGGTTTATAAGCTCTGGAAAAACTCTGTAATCTGGAGTTAAGTCTGGTAATCGTTTCCGGGCCATCTCCCTGTAACCAGTTACAGAAATAAAATCTCTCTTCTTCCCCAGTTCATCTGCATCTCGCTATCGGGCCTGGGGAAGGAGCAGCCCGACCCTGGGTGTGGTCCGGGAATGTTTTGTTCTCAGCGTGACCTGCTTTCTCATCTGTGGGCTTCTCTGTCTTCCGGGACTCCTGTTGTTGGCACGTGGGCTCCTCCAGGGCCACTCTCCCTTTACCTGGCGGAATCCCCTCCTGTGGCTTCCCTGGGCTGAGAGGGGAGGGAGGGTGGCCTGCAGGAGTCCCTAGGCTGAGCGGGGAGGGAGGGTGGCCTGCAGAGGTCCCTGGGCTGAGAGGGGAGGGAGGGTGGCCTGCAGGAGTCCCTGGGCTGAGCGGGGAGGGAGGGTGG